CGGGTCATTGTCCATTTGGAAGACCCATTTGCGCCCAAGCTTTAACTTCCTGGCTGATGTGTTGAGATGTTGCTTCAGTATTTCCACATAATGTTCTTTCCTCATGATGCCATCTATTTTGTGAAGTGCATCAGTCCCTCCTGCAGCAAAACACCCCCACAACATCATGCTGCCTCCCCTGTGTTTCACAGTTGGGATGGTGTTCTCAGGCTTGCAAGCTTTCCCCTTTTTCCTCCAAATGTAAAGATGGTCATGATGACCAAACAGTTCAATTTTAGTTCCCCACTAGTTTTCCTCCAAAAATTAACATCTTTGTCCCTGTGTGAATTTGCAAACTGTAATCTGGCTTTTTTATGTTGCTTTTGGAGTAATGGCTTCTTCCTCTCTGAGNAATGAGAGAGACAATTATTTAGAGATTTTTAAAAAAAATTACTTTCTCCAAAGTCAGAAGTTTAAATACATTTCCTTAGTATTTGGTAGCATTGCCGTTAAACTGCATGACTTGGGTCAAATGTTTTGGGTTTCCTTCCTCTAGTTTCTCTCAATAGCTTGATAGAATTCTGGCCCATTCCTCCTGACAGAACTGATGCAACTGAGTCAGGTTTGTTGGCCGCCTTGCTCCACACGTCTTTTCAGCTCTGCCCATAAATGTTCTACAGTATTGAGATCAGGGCTTTGTGATGGCCACTCCAAAACATTGACTTTACTGTCCTTAAGCTACTTTGTAAGTAATTTAGCGGTATGCTTCAGGTCATTGTCCATTTGGAAGACCCATTTGCGCCCAAGCTTTAACTTCCTGGATGATGTCTTGAGATGTTGCTTCAGTATTTCCACATAATGTTCTTTCCTCATGATGCCATCTATTTTGTGAAGTGCACCAGTCCCTCCTGCAGCAAAACACCACCACAACATGATGCTGCCACCCCCGTACTTCACAGTTGGGATGGTGTTCTCAGGCTTGCAAGCTTCTCCCGTTTTTCCTCCAAATGTAACGATGGTCATTATGGCCAAACAATTCAATTTTAGTTCCCCACTAGTTTTCCTCCAAAAATGAAGGTCTTTGTCCGTGTGTGCATTTGCAAACTGTAATCTGGCTTTTTTATGTTGCTTTTGGAGTAATAGCTTCTTCCTCTCTGAGTGGTTTCAACTGTATATAAATGCAGTTCTTGTTTTTCTTTTGTGTCATGTATACAAAATTTAGTTTAAAAAATAATAAATTGAGAAATAAAGTCAAACTTTGTTCACTTAAATTTACTTTGAATAAGAATAGTTTTTATTGACGGGGATGTTGGACTGTGCTTTTAGAATAAATCGACCTCTTTCACTTAGCAGTTCAGAGACAGTCACCTGTGTGACTGGTTGAGGCTTCTGGTTCACTGGTGGTGCAGATGTTGCCAGATGTTGAAGCAACAACTGACAGATCATATCAGGGAACTTTCTCACTTTGCAGCATGGACAAGGACCTGAATTTGTCTGAAAATGGCAGGTCGTGGGTTAACGTTTGTCACATATTATTGAGAGTTTCCATGTTGTTGTTGTTTTTTTTCTCCCTCCATCTACACGCATGCTCAGTGTGTCCCCTCAGCTGATTCACATCAGCAGCAGCAGCGCCGGAGATCCGCCGGTGCGACCGCACATGGAGCCCCAGTGAGAAGAGCCAGCGCTCCGGCCAGGGCGGGTAAGAGCGAGTCCTTCACTGCTTCTAAAGTCTGCTAGAGTGGAAAGAGGAGGCTGCAGGTGGGAAGAGAGAGGAGAAGGAGAAAGTGAACGGAGAGGAAAGTGACTGAGCGGCTGCTCGGCCGCGATGACTCACTGGAGTCCAGCGCTGTCAGCTGCTGTGAGCTGAGTTTAGAGACGAGGACCACCGCGCTCAGGTTTCTGTTTACAGCAGAGGCGACCAACTGCACCGAAATCCGACGTCTGATCGTTTTATTCTGAGTGATTTGAAATCAGATATCCTGCGTTAGCGAGGGCCAGTGAAGAAGCACTGTTGCTTGTTCTGAGCATTTGAGATAAATGAGAGCTAGAATTTGTTTTTATGCAGCTTTTGGAGTGGGAACACTGTGTGTAGAGGAAAAGTTGGGTAAAACTTAGGCCTACCAGCACCATGGACAGCTCTGATGTGGAGCTGAAGTAGACCAGACACCCTCCCAAACCTCCCATAAACAACCTTGTTGTACTATCATTTATTTATGATCCTTTAAAATCTCATTTGTATTCAATTCAAGCCAACCAGTGTTTTATAGCACATTTAAAACAACTTACTGAGAGCCAAAGTGCTTTTCGATACAGAAATGAGGCTTATGTTGCTAATTTACCACATTTAAATATTAAGGTTAGGACTAGTGATGCA